TTGACTCCAGAGAGTAGGGAGCTTTGGAAGTCAAGATTAGGTTTCTTTAGTTTTGACAGCATGTGACGTGAGAAAAGCAAAAGATGGTTTGGTATATAATCTTGAGCTCCCTTCTTCCTCTTAAACAAAGTATTAAAACCTTATAGTTGGAAAAAAAAATTAAGTAATACGAATAATGTATATCCTTTTTGCTAGGTGAAAACATATATGAAGGAGTTATTTCTCTTCATACTACTTAAAACAAAGAAGAAGCAAACTTGAGGTTTCATGATGGCAGTAAAAAGTTTCTCCCTTTTAAGTAATTATTATTAGTCAACAAAACATTATTAATCAGGCAGATACACATCATGGGGTGAAAATGCACGGAGATCAAAATCAAATTTGGATAATATTACTCATTTCAAAAGAAATTAAAAAAATAAGTCGACCATTGCTGGATAAGTATTTATCTGATCGAATAGCACTAACACTTTGTATATGTTTGTATATCTTGTCCTTCTCTACTTTTCATAATATTTATTTAAAAAATAGAAAGTTTTCACATTCATTTTTTTGATAAATTCTTTTTTCTTGCCAATGTAATTTTGCCCAATCCCTTATATGACACTGTCAACAACACAGGCAAGCCCCACAAGACACCGATGAAAAATAAGGGATTGAAAATTTTTACAGTGCCATCATTTCAGTGGATTTGTTACTAAAAAATTTATATGTTCATCTCATATACTATATACCAATGGGCAATGGCTTCCATGTGTGGGTATTAACATGCAACTTGTTTGAAACCTTTACTATAGTGCGTTGCACTAGTATATGAGAACAGTCCAGGAAGGCAGCAGGAATTGATGAAGAAAGAAGCTGGCAAAGCCTGAGAATTTAAAATCTTCACATGCCAATAGCTCCTTGCTATTTATTACCTTGCTCGGTGCGTGTCTCTGGCGGCCGGAAAAGAATTGCGCCCGGCCTATTTAATGCATCATGAGACTTCTCCAGTTCCCGTGTCACTAAATTCCGCGTGTGCTTATTTAGTAATTTATCCATTTTTGTTGTGTCGTCCTTGGTTTCTTTACATCACTGCCACATTACTAGCATGTGACCACATAGTACCTTTAAAATTGTTTGTTTCTGTTTTCATTGATGAAGTACACTCTTTAGACCCAGAAAGGTTATTTGCTTATGCCATGAAATAATTGTTAATCCATGGTGCAACTCTATCATTTCTATGACAATATTATTGTCAAATGTAAACATGGATGGATTCACAAAATCTTACCGCTCAACGAATGTGTTAATTAGAACACGACGACATTTTGATAGTTCTTTATTAAGCGCTGAATGCTTTTTATTATGAGAAATCTTAGCATAAGTCATTGAACATGTAGCCTTGAAAAGAGGCGCGGCGTCATATGCATATGCGTTAAAAAAGAGGGTTTCGTCACCTTGTTACCACTCATTTTTCTCTCTTTTTTTTTGTCCGTATTTTTTTCCAACCACGCCGTAAAACTAGTATTCTAATTTATCACATTGGTAGAGAGAAAAGCACACATTTGGTTTTAGGTAAATCAAACGAGGATGACCAATGGGAATCATTTTTATAGATTCTTTTCAAGGCGTTAATCCCAGCCATACTTATCTTTTATTCTTGTTTTCATAAGGATCTTGGACGCTTGATATATATGTTCATTTGATAGAGAGCTTTGATGCAATTGCTGCCACTAAATCACCCTAAGGCGCATGTTGTTAATTAGTGATAGATTGTATACATCTGTGTATATATACGCGACCGTATAGTCTTAGCCCTGATTTATTGTTGCTGATTTTGTTGTGTAGCATGGGAAGCGTATACGTTTGGTATTACTGGAAGTGTTCAAGCGTTGTCCACAATTAGGCACATGGCAGTCGCTTGCTACCCTCACTACGGCGTGTGGGAGTACAAATACTAGACAATTAGTGATAGATTGTTAATTAGTCACTTGTTACAACTGTGAACATCTTTTAATCTGCTAAAAACTACACAACTGTATGTTTCCGACAACTTATACTACTGTAAGTAACACAGTTGTCGTACCACAGACATTATTATATACTCCCTTTGCCCCTGAATAAATCAATTCTTAGGGTTAACTTATAAGTCAATTTTTTTATGTTTAACCACATTTATAGAAAAAATACAAATATTTATGATATGAAATGAGCATATTATCATAATATAGTTTATAATGTATCTAATGATACTAATTTAGTGTAGTAGATTTTGATGCTTTTTCATAGAAATTTGGTCAAACTTTAAAAAGATTAACTTAAGATAACTCTAGGAATTGATGTGTTCAGGAACAGAGGGACTTGTAAATAGTGGCTTTCTTCATGTTGAATTTCAAACTCCTTTATCTGTGAATAGTGTGAAAATTACACATCTTTGCTCCAAACTGGACCTTATATGGAGTTGCAGCGTGCCTATCTACTTTCTGAATGTAGAACTAATGGAGATGTCAAAAAGAAATTATAGGAAAAAATAGAGCTCAATAGAAAGGAACTAATTTCAATGAAGTCAAGAAGAATATAATATAGTTGGTATAATATTAGTGCTTGCTGCAAAGACCTCATACTTTGAGCAAGACAGAGACCTTATACATGTTATTACTTGATGCATTAATAAGTTAGCCTCATCATCATGGGTAACTAGTTGACACAACAGATAAGCTGGTGCTCATACAACAAACCACACAGCAGGTAGGGATTGGGTTGCTTTGGCAATTTTCTGAATGTTACAGCAACTCCAACAGTTTGGCAATTTTTGTTTGCCATTTGTTGTAGTTTGCCAACTCCCAAAACGATATGGCAAGGGGAAAAAAAGGCCATCTCCAAGTGTTTGGCAAAATTGACTTGGCAAAACCCAAAATTGTGGACCCAGCTATATTTGCCGCAATTTTTTTTCCCACGCCGTATCTGGTCCCGCACTTTTGGTCACGCGTGTTTCTTCGTCGCGGCATTTTCTTCGTCGCGCGCCGCCAGTCCGCGACGGAGTCAGGTCGCCGCCGTTTCCTCCTGTCCGAGACGCTGCTGCCCTGGGAACCAACGAGGGCTTCCAGGTCGCCGTAGAGTCATTCCTGCCTCCGTGGACTGCAGGTCGTCATCGATCTCCAAGGTTCGTCCACTGCCGATCTCCCATTCCTGTATCATGTCAATTCGTTGTATGAACAGGATTGTTCACCTTGAGAGAGGCTAAAATGAATTTATGCTTTCCTTCTCTTTTGTATAAACAACTTGCGAGGCTAAATATGATATCAATAAATAGGATTGTTCTTGCGTATTATATCATATCAATAAGCTGCGTCTCCGATAATTTTTGTTATGTTGATGTTCTCAGCTGCACATATGTCATTTGCAGGCGTACATACGTCGATCATGAGGGCTTTCAAATCACGTGCACGAAGACAATTGGATGACGAGTCTTCAGACGACGATGATTCCTTCATCTTCACAGCAGCTCGAATTGTGCGCACGTTTTCGAATAGAAAACGAAGACATGGTGGTTCGGTCCCTGGCCATGTTGTTATTCATCGGGATAGAGAAGGCGGCCACCGGAGGATGTTTCAAGATTATTTGGCGGGAAATCCGACGTATGGTCCAGATTTATTCCGTCAGAGGTAGTTGTTCTTTCACCTCAAATTGGTTCATAGTATTTGTTTAATTATTATACGAGTTGTTGAACTTTTGTTTCTTTTCTTCAGATTCAGAATGAGTACGAACCTTTTCCTACGCATAATGAATGTTGTTGAAGCACACGATGATTATTTTGTGCAAAAAAGGAATGTCGCAGGTGTACTTGGATTGAGTTGCTTCCAAAAAGTCACTGCCACTCTTCGTATGCTCACATATGGGGTTCCTGCTGACGCCACAGATGAGTATGTTCGCATTGGCGAAAGCACCGCACTTGAGAGCCTACGTAGGTTCGTTGCTGCAGTTGTAGAAATATTTGAAGAGGAATACCTGAGACATCCCAATGAGGCTGACACTGCACGCTTACTGGCACTCAATGAGAAAAAAGGTTTCCTTGGAATGTTAGGGTCCATTGATTGTATGCATTGGGCGTGGAAGAATTGTCCAGTTGAATCACAGGGTCAGTACAAGGGGCATGTGAACAACCCAACTGTCATTTTAGAAGCTGTTGCGTCTCATGACCTTTGGATATGGCATGCATTTTTTGGGATGGCTGGTTCTCATAATGATATCAATGTCCTTCACCGGTCTCCATTATTTGCAAACCTGGCGGAGGGTATAGCTCTAGAGGTGAACTACACCATTAATGGTCATGATTACAACATGGGTTATTATCTGGCCGATGGTATATACCCCTCATGGGCTACATTAGTCAAGTCCATCTCTCTTCCTACGGGGAACAAGAGGAAATATTTTGCCAAAGCGCAAGAAACAGCGAGAAAGGATGTCGAAAGAGCTTTTGGGGGTTCTACAGGCCAGGTTTGCCATTGTTCGAGAACCAGCTCGTATTTGGGACACAGAGACACTTGCATTGATCATGAGGGCTTGTGTGATTATGCACAATATGATTGTTGAAGATGAACGAGTTGTCGACCCTGATGAGCGGTTCGAAAATGGTGGTGAAAATGTGCAACCTTCTCATGGCAAGCCTTCTCGCACACTAGCTGAATTTATTGAAGCGCATAAAAAGATCCGAGAGAAGGAAACACATTTCCACCTGAAAGAAGACCTCATCGAGCACCTATGGAACCATCATCCTGATTTATATCCGATGGAACCAACATCTTGATTTATATTCTACATAGTATTTTCACTTAATTGTTAGTGTTTTCATTCAAGTGTACTGAACACTTTTCATTCGAGTGTGTAATTCTACATAGCATAAATGGGAATGTAAATGGTTCTCTGAATGACAATGAAATAAAAAGGTTCACTCAATCTAATATTTGACCGATTAAAAATCAAAGGTGGGTAAATAAAGTGGAAGACATGAACAAAATCTAATTTGCCGTATGTCGTGCAAGTATCTTCTTCTTCATTATGTCAAGCCATTGCAGCTGCATCGGGTCGAGGGAGCTCGTGCCCGCTAACATTATTTCTTTCTCCTCCTTCAGCAAGTCCGCTTCAACTTTTTTTTCTTCATTTGACAACCGCTTCTTCTCAAGCTCAAGTGAAGCCTTCTGTACCTCAAGTGCAGCCTTGTCTACCTCAATTGCAGCCATGCATCTCTCCTTTCTCTGCTTGTCTCTTTCCCAGTCAGAAACCTCCTTCTTCTCCCACATCTTATCCAAAGCTACAATGCAAGCGTCGTCGCCTCCCCGCCTAGCTTCTTTTGCCTGCTTCTGACCCATTGGCCTCTTTCGTTCTTGAGAACCTGGGGCTGCAATCTCTTGTAGATCATCATTGTTGTTGGCTTCTACATTGCTCGGCGTGGACTCCTTATTAGTCTTCTGTTTCTTCTTTGCGGCTTGTTTCTGCTGCTCAGCCAGCTCAATCATCTTTGACTTCCACTTGTCTTCATCCTTCAACCTTTTCCAACAGTGCATAAGAGTAAACGACTTCTTTTCCTCGTCTACTCCTGTGTACATCTCAGATGCTTCACTAATCTACACAAATAAAATCATTTAAATGTTAATATATTCACAGATGAACCAAATATTGAAAACAAATAAAAGAAACAACTACAGAAACAAACCATGTCTTGGATAGTTGCTCCACTTTGATTCCTATGCTCAATTGCCTCGTAGCATGAACATTACTTGTTGACGTCCTTCTGAATAGTGAGCCACCTATGCATAATGGAACTCTCTGTCCTGACAGCTGGAGTTTCCTTATTTTTCTCAAAGAAATCATGAATTCTTCTCCAAAATGATAAACGAGTTTGATTGTCCCCATGAATAGGATCTTTGCTAACATTCAACCAAGCTGAGCATATAACTACATCTTCCTTTTGATCAAATTTTTTGGACCTATGTGACGCACCCTTTGCAGTACGACGGCGAACAACAACTTCAGATGCCTGCACTTCCACAACATCATGTTGAACTTCAAAAGGAAGATCATTATTAGTTTCCTGAGTGTCTTGAGTGATCGGAAAGGTCAATTCGTCCAAGCCAGGAACATGATGACCAACTGATGTGAGTATGCCCGCATACAATCCAAGATCTTCCATATGACCGAATCTAAAAAAAAGAGAATGACAAATGTTGTGTCTCAAATTAAGACGAATAGAAGATCAAAGACAATATATATATTCGCACTGACTAAAAAATACAGATCAAAGGACCATACGTAGACATCTGTTACAAACAATTTCGCTCAGCTACAAAAAAACTTTGTTCAATTCTACGACAAACGCTACTATTTGGGAACCGTAGCACATCAGCCCATCCCCTCCCCACAGAACCCTAGCTAGCAACGATGGAAATCGTATACAAACAATTGAATGAGTGGATCATGGAGTATCTCAACCCTTTGGGACGTTGATGAAGATGGAACCTCACGGGGTGTGATCAAGAAGAAGTCGAGATCGCCTTGCGTCCTTGGGTTTCGCGTGAAGGTCTTCGGGTTCCGCGTGAAGGGCTGGCAGCATGAGATATTCCCTCGATCAGAGTCCTGGGGTTTCGCGGGAAACAAAGCCGGCGGCGCGGGAAGGGAAAGATCGCGCGCGAGGGGGGGAAATAGCGCCGGAGTAGCGCGCGCTATCGATTGCCAAGCGGACCGATCGCGCGCATATATGCGCGGAAACAACCGGTGTTTGCCAAGTTGATAAAAATGCCAAGCCTAATTGCCAAACTGTTGGATAGGAGAATTTGAGGTTTTTGGCAAAAAACAAGAATGCCAAACCCAATTGCCAAACTGTTGGACTTGCTCTTAGTTGATCTAAGAAAATGACCTCCGCATATGTATGTTCACAAGTGTACAAAGGGCAGATCTCTCGCCGACCCTCTATTACAGTAAATACTAGTTCTTGTTGGAGTATAATGCAAGTCATCAATTAATCTTCTTGAGACAACAGTTGGTGGTTTAGCTAGCTAGCCAAATTCCGAGATCCAGCAAATGGGCGATAGATATTATTGCAGCTGGGAACTGAGAGACTGCAGGCCAGAATCTCACTACAACATAAAAGATTTTAGGAGACATCCTTTCTAATTAATAGGGAGGACACATCCAGAAAACCATCTCTATAAATGGTCAGCCGCCCATCTAGGTCAATGTTTGTCTCTGTTAACCATTTTCAGAGGCGGATATTCTAATGTCTTGGGGCAGCCGCCTCTATTAATTACCCATCTATGAAAATCACTATTAATATATGCGGGCATTCTAAGGGTCTGTTTGGTTTCAGAGCAAGGTAGGATGGCATGATTTTATTCTAGATGTTTAGGGCAGGTACATTGCTACACATCAGCGGTCTCGTACGCTGTCTCATGCAATGCCATGTAGGATTTTTGCTGATGTGGAGGAAAGAGAGAGTGGGGAGAGAAAGAGGTTGTTGTTTCGTGAAACAACCACCTCATGAGCTAAAATTTAGGACCACAAGACAACTATTATACTATTGTATGAGTTGTTGCCATGCAACTCACAACTTTACTTTTATTATATCCATAAATTACGGAATTGTGAGTTATTACGAGACAACTTAAAAAACAACCATTGTACATGTTGTCTATTAAATCGTCTTAAAATTACATGGCACTACATGAGACCACCTACGAGACAAGACCAATGTACTTGCCCTTAAGGATAGAACAATTTCTTTTTTTTTGGTTGGAGGGGTAAAACGGTCCCATTTTATAGTTGGGTTGGAGGGATGGGATAAATAGGATGACAGTATCGATAGGTTAGCCACCATCACATGACCCATCTAACAGTCAGACAATCCTCTTCTCTATCGGTCTCTTCACCATCCATCTGTATGCATCTCCGCCAATGGCATCCCGCGTCGACGCCATTGTTCTCCTTCCCGCCCATGCCGGTGCCTCTCCGCCCCGCATTTTCAGCCACCTTCATCCGCAACACCGCATTGCTGCTCACTCGCCCACTCACGCCAGCGCCCCCCACCCACGGCACCGCAACGACGCTCTCTTGCCACCCGTCCGCACCGGTCGCCCATGCCCATGACACACACCAGAACTCTCTAGAACGCCCGTGCGGGTGCTCGTGTCGGCGCCTGCGAGAGGGAGACGACACTCACGCTGTCTGATTGGAATGAGCTCGTCTAATGATTTTTCTAGAATGGGCTCTCTTCGAATCTTGGCAAATATTCGAGTGCGGGGAGTGGCTCCATCCCTCAACTGAACACCGGTCAGAACAAAATTGCTCTATTCCATTCCTCCATGTCCTTTAACCAAACACATCCTAAGTGTTCACCTCTATAAATCGATCAACGGAGGCGGTCATTCTAAGGTCCCGCTTCCAAAAATAATAAGGTCCAGCTTCCAAAAATAGTTGTTTCAAAAAATCATAAATTTTTCGTATGGATAGAGGAAGACAAACTATATCAAAATTATAGAGCTCGCAATCTACAACTTTGTAGTTACAAAATATTGATTTGAAATTGTTTAGAGTTTCAAAATTTTGTTATAAGCTCTTAGATTTTAAAATTTAAGGTTTAAAATTTCCAAACAACCTTAGATGTTGATATGATCTACACAGAAGTTGTAGTTCTCAATACCATATACAACTTTGTAATTAATAATCTTTTATTCAAAATCATTTAGATTCCTAAATATTCATGTTATGCTCTAAGATCTGAAATTTAAAATTTAGAAATTCAAATGACATTGGACGTTTACATATGATGTTGTACTTATCAACGCAATCTATAACTTTGCAATTGACCATTTTTTCATTTGAACACATTGAGAATCCCAACTATAGATTTCAAAATTCCCAAATTTTAATATTCAAAATTTTAAAATTTTCAAACTATCTCGGATGGAGATACACACTTTATCAAAACAATGTAGAGCTCTAAGAACTAAAACTTTGTACTCACTCCGTACCAAAATAGTTGCTATTCTCACTTCCCAATGCACATTTCTCTTCTCGCAATACATCCTTTTCTTTTCCTAATACATCTCTATCTCTACTTTTTTTAGGGGTATTTTAGTCTTTTGCCTTTCGCGTTGGTCTCTTTAAAAGAGTCTAAAACGTCAAGCATTATAGGATGGAGGGAGTAGTTGAAACTTTTTTTTTACTTTTGAAATCATTTAGAGGCTAAAATGTTTAATACAAAATCATGAAATATCGATAAAAAAATAACATCCTATATATACTCATAAATGAGTGTGTATTGTAGTGATAGGGAGGTTTTGTATGTGCCAAAGGTTCTGGGATCAAACCCTCAAAGGCACTCATTATATTCCTTTTGTAAATAGCATTAACAGATGCCGACATCTTAATGTGCCCATCTTATAAATGGCAATTAACAGAGACCATATTGTGCTCTAGATCTTAATGAGTGATTACAAAGAAGTTACATTTATCTAGTGAATTTAGTGTAACTTAACTGGTTATATTTCTTATTGTGGAACTGTTCATTTAGGTTGAAGTCCTCGATATTATGTGGGTGCTCGTATTTTCAAGATTTATCTGTTATTTTAAAATTAAATTAACTTCTAGAGTTATCCTAAGTTAAATTATTTTAAGTTAAACGAAATTTTTAGAAAATAGCAACAACATTTATGACATCAAATTAGTATCGCTAGAAGTTATTATCTTTTCCTATAAAGTTGGTCAAACTTAATGTTGTTTGACTTAAGGTGATTAAGGAATTGATTTATTTTAGGATGGAAGGAGTAGAATTTAACGATGCTATTTTTTAGTCGTAGATAACATTATCTGTCGATAGTGAGGCTTTGTAGTGAGTTCTTCAATCTCGAGATCTACATGATTGGTCTTTCAGCCGCGCTTATAGGTGTAGGATGTGTATGCTTGTGTTCATAGGGTAAGTGGGTGTGCATGTATATGAACATATTTGCTGCAATTTGCAGAAAAAGTTGTATTTATCAAGTGAAATGTTTGCAACGCCAAATCTTTTATTTGATGTACTCGTAGAGTTTGGATATGTGTGCATGCATTTAGAGAGTTAAGTGTGTGCGCGCATACAAGCGTCTGCATCTAGGCTGCAATTCACATGAAAAGGTAGCATTTATCCAGCAATATGTTTGCAACGACAACTAATGTACAGTAGTACCCAGAACCAAAATAATGTTTTTGAAGTCAAGAACCAAAATAATGTCAGTGCCAAAAATTTCTCTTAAGGGCCCATAAAAGTATTTGAGAATGACACGAGGTGTAATTTCCTAAACTCCATCTATTTGAGTCGTTGAGTACTATACTGTTACGTTATATTGATATAAAATACTACTCTCTCTGTCTCAAAATGTGATATTTTAGGTTTGTCATAAGTCAAACCATTTCAAGTTTGACCAAATTTATAGGAAAAATTACTAATGTTTATAATACAAAAAGTATTATTAAATTTATCATAAAATATATTTTTATATTCTACGTATTCGGTGTCCTAAATATTAATTTTCTTTCCTATAAATTCGGTGTCCACCGCGGCTTGTCGCCATGCTCGCCGCGCGCACGTGGCCAGCACTGCTCAGGTAGTCGCCAGCCGAACCACAACTTTGGTCTGGTTCGCGGTGTGTCCCTGGTGCTTATCCCCTATCTCTATCGTTCTGTTAGCGCTGTGGCTCACTAGAACGCGGTTGCCGCCGTTGCAGGTCATCCGCCATCAGAGAGAGCCCGCTCTGCTTCACCCCCGTTCGTACCACCAACGCTCATCGCTTCGCGTCGAACCTAGGTGAGCGTCGGCCTCGTAGATAGGTCAGCATAGGTCCCATGTGGCCGGCGCAAGCGCCAGTGCCACCGCTCGCCGCGCCGGAGCGTGCGGGGAAGGCCAGGGACCTTGCTGTGTAAAGAGGAGAAAGATCCGAGGGTTCCGTTACAAAGTCGTTGTCTATAGAAATATTATGTGTAGTGTTCGCGCTATTTTCTGATAACGCGAGGGCGTTTTTGTTAATGTGCCAGCACGCGCGGGCTTCCTCGCCACGGGCCGCCTCGCGTGTGCGGGCTGGTGCCGCGTGGGCTGCACCGCGGGCCGCCGTGCGCTAGCGCGCGCTGCGTTGCATGTGGGCCGCGTTGGGCCGAAATCAGTTTAGCTTTTTCATGGAGAATAGAAATAGCCTTTTATTTTAATTTTGAGCTGAACTTTGATAATTAATATAAAATCATGTAGGTATTTAAAAATTGTGAAACTAATTTTGTTAGATTCTTAAAATTGTGC